GGGGAACACGTGGGCATCTTGAAGGTCATCTTGGCCGTCTGGAGGCTATTTTGACCCTTTCGGGCCTTCTTGGAGGACGTCTTGGAGGGCTCGTGGGCCGTCTTGGAGGCCACGAGGGCGGTTCTGGGGCCATCTTGGAGGCTTCTTGGGCGATCCTTGGGCGACCTTTGGGAGCTCTTGGGCCGTATCGGGCCGTCGGAAGGCCGAAACGAAACAAATGTCAAAATCCTTCAAAACCTAAGGAGAATCACTCGTTTGGGCCTTTTCGGGCCTTCCTGGAGGCCCTCTTGGAGGCCTCTCGGGCCGTCTTGGGCCAGCTGCGACCCACCTTCGGCCATCTCGGTGGGCTCCTGGCCCGTCTGACGCCGTCGGAAGCCGTTTCGGGAGCCTTTATGAGCCGACTTGGGGCCCTCTTGGGGTGCTCCAGGGCCGTCTTGGAGGCCATGTTGGACGTCTTGGAGGCCTCTGGGGCCGTCTTGGAACCCTCTGGGGGCCGTCTTGGAGGCCTCTTGGGCCGTCACGGGGCCATCTTGGAGGCCTCTTGGGCGATCTTGGGGCGATCTTGGGGGTCTCTTGGGCCATCTGGGGCCGTCGGAAAACCGAAAAAGTGCAAATACCAAAAGCCTTCAAAAACCTCAGGAAAATCAATGATTTTGCCTCTTCGGGCCTCCCTGGAGGACCTCTTGGAGGCCTCTTGGGCCGTCTTGAAGGCCTCTTGGGGGCCTCTTGGGCCGTCTTGGGGGGCCATCTTCAGGCTATCTTAGGCCGTCTTGGGTACATATTGGGCCGTCTTGGAGGCATCTTGGGGCCACCTGAGCCGTCTTGGAGGCCATCTTGGGCCGTCTTGGAGGCATCTTGGCCGTCTTGGAAGCCATCTTAGGGCCGTCTGGAGCAGGAAAACAGTTTGCAACCGGGTCTGTGGCCGGCGGGACGCGCCGGAGCCCCAGGGGGAGTTCTTGTGGAAAAAGAACCAAAACCAAAACCGAGAGGATGTAACACGCCAGGTACCCCTTTGATGAATCAAAAGGGGGCGGCGGACGTTCCTTGGGATCTCGTGCGAGGCCTCTCGGGGGCCTTTTGGAGGCAGCTTGGGGCCTCGTAGGGCCTCTTTGGGGCCTCTTCGGGGCCTCTCGGAGCCGCGTGGGGGCCTCTCGGGGCCCGCTTGGGGCCTCTTGAGGCACTCTTGGGGCCTCCTGGGGCCCCCTTAGGATCGTCTTGGGCAATCTTGGGCCTTCTTGGGTGCCTCTTGGGCCGTCTTGCGGCCCTGTGTGCCGTCTTGAGGCTGTCTTGGCAGCCTTTTTGGCCGTATTGGAACGATTTGGGGGGCGTCTTGGGCTGTCTGCGAGCGTCGGAAAGCCAAGAAGGCGAGATGACCAAAGAAGACTCTTGGACGCCTCTTGGGGCGTCTTGTAGGCCTCTTGGACCTTCTTGGGACCATCTTGGGCGTCTTGGAAAGATTTTTCAACGGCCCGGGCCCCTCTTGGATCATATGCGGGGCCTCTTGAGCCCATCTCAGACCAAATTGGAGCAATCTAGGGCCCGAACAAGTAAGTCATGAGGGAAGACGCCCCGGGCACGCGGAAGCCCCGAGATTTGGCAGTTTGGGGTCTGGGTCCCTAAAAGACTCCACGGGGTTGAAGACTGAGGTTTATGGGATTAGGCCAAGGACCTGAGGACACGCGCACTCCGTGCTCATAGGCACGGCGGCGGATTTTCGCATGGATGACATAGAAGCAAAAATGGTGGAAACTTGTGACTCCCACCATTTTTGTGGCGCAGCCCTTACACAAGGATTCCTGGTCTGGCGATCTTCCAGAAGGATTAAAATACCGGGCATCTGCAAGGGCTGGCAGAATTGAAATCACATTGAAGCAGCCTGTGCGACAGGATTCCTCGTGTGCCGATCTTACGAAAGGACTTCAGTTGCGGGGGATCTGGAATGGCCTCCAAAATGAAGATCCGTGTGTAGCAGCCTGCATAAAGGGATCAGTTCGCCAGACCTCCACAAAAGAATCCCTGTGTACAAGCTGCTACAAAAAAGGATTCAAATGTTGGAAGCCACTGCAGATCTGCAACACCTATGATTTGTGTGCAAGTTCGCATCAAAATGAATCCTATGTGAAGGCTGCTACAAAAGGATTTCATGTGTGGAGGCCACTGCAGAGGCGCCACACAACAAAACCATGTTTGCAACATCGCCTCAACAGGAACACGTTATGCTGCTAGGATTGCTAAAAAAATTCAAGCGTGGGGTATCTGCACCCAAAAATTCGCCGGCCCAACGGGCCAGGGCGTGCTAAGATCTCCGGTAACTGGTTAACAGTATTAACAGTATTTCTAGTTCGCGCGCGCGGGGCGGCCCCTGGGGGTCCCCCGGCGAAAAGTACCCCGACCAACGCCCGGCCGCCGCCCGACCAAGTCTACTCAGAGATGGTTTTCCTTCTGGGTGCGGCCTCTCAGGCTCCCCAGAGCGCGCTCAGAGTGCCCCAAGAGGCCCCCAAGACTGCCCAAGAGGCCCCCGAGACGCCCAAAGAGCGCTCGAAGACGCCGAAGATGACCCCAAGACGGCCCAAAAGGCCCCCAAGACAGCCCAAGAGGCCTCCAAGACGCCCCAAGAGCCTTCCAAGAGGCCTCCGAAGAGAGCCCCAAGAGGCCAAAATCGTTGATTTTCATTGTTTTTTCGATGTTTTTTGTGTTCTGGCTTTTTCGGCTTCCGGACGCTCCAAGACGGCCCAAGAGGCCCCCAAGACCGCTCCAAGACGGCCCACGAGGCTCCCAAGACGGCCCCGGAACGGCCCAGGAGGGCCCCCAAGACGGCCCAAGTGCCGCCCAAGACGGACCAAGAGGCCCCAAGACGGGCCCAAGAGGGGCTCAAGAGGAGAACCGAGAACTGAAAAATCGAGCCCTCCGCCCCAGAAGGCGCCCAGGAGGCCCCAAAAAGGCCCCAAGAGGCCCCCAAGAGGCCCCCAAGACGCCCCAAGAGGCGCCCAAGAGGCCCAAAAGAGGCCCCAAGAGGCCCAAAAACGGCCCCCAAGAGGCCCCAAAACTCGGCTAGCCCACAACGGTGCGACAATATGGGCCGGCGGAATGAGCGAAGCGATTAAATAACGAGTGTCACAGGTTTCCCCAGCGTTTCCCGATCTTTCCTGTGAAGACATAAAGTTAAGATTGTGTGTCATGTGTTTCCTGGCTTCCTCTACAGCTTTCTTGGATTCAAGGTGCAGCCGCTGCAGATCCCCCGCATGCAAAATCCTTTTTGCAAGACCGCCGCGGAAGAAATCCCTTTGCACAGGCCGCTACGAAAGGATTCTGCGGACGCCACTGCAGGTCCCTCACACTTGCAATATTTGTTGTAAGGCCGCTACAGAAGGCATCCTTGCTATAAAGGGTGCTACAAAAGAATTTCAAATGTGGGTGATGTGCACAGAAGAACTCCTCTGTGGGCTGCCTTACATGTAATATTTCTGTAAGGCCGTCACTAAAGGAATTATCAAATTCGCCGGCTCAACGGGCCAGAGGCGTGGTAAGATCTCTGGTAACAGGTAAACTGTATTTCTATCTATAGCTCGCGCGCGCGGGCCAGCCCCTGGGGGTCCCCGGGCGAAAAGTACCCCGGGCAGGTCCCGGGCAAGATCCCATCAGAGATGGTTTTGCTCCGAGTCGCCACAAGATCGCTCCTAGACGCCCAAAATAACCTCCAGACGGCCCACAAGGCCTCCAAGACGCCTAAAAAGGCCTCCAAGAGGCCTCCCAAAAGAGCCCTACGAGGCAACCAACATTCATTGATTTCCCGTTGGATGGATTTTCCCGCGTTCGCCTTTCCAGCTTCCCGACGCTCCAACGCGGCCCAAGCGGCCCAAGAGGCCCCCAAGACCGCTCCAAGACGGCCAAAGGGCCTCCAAGAGGGCCCCAAAACAGCCCCAAAACAGCCCGAGAGAGCCCCGAGACTGCCCAAGAGGCCTCGAAGGCGGCCCAGGAGGCCCCCAGGACGGCTCCAAGAGAGGGCCCAGACGGGGGACCCGAGTGGCAATTTCCAGCTCTTTGCCCGAAGAGGCCCCCAGGAGGCCCCCTAAAAAGAGCCCCAAGAGGCCCCAGTGAGGCCCCAAAAGAAATTCCAAAAATAAGGCCAAGAGGCCCCCGAGAGGCCTCCAAAGAGACCGCAAGAAGACTACCAAAGAGGCGCGTCTACGATCAAGAGTGGCTCCAAAATACCCCCAAGAAGCCATCGAGAGGCAAGAGGCGTTTTGTCCACGACCAAGGTTGGCTGCAAAAAAACCCGTTGAAACCATCGAGAAGCCTCTTCCTCATCCTCATCCTCCCCTCTTCATCCTTCCTCTCCTCCTCCTCCTGCTCCTGTTCCTCCTGCTCCTGCTCCTGCTCTTGCTCCTGCTCCTGCTCGTCCTTCTCCTCCTCCTCCTCCTCCTTCTCCTCCTCCTCCTCCTCCTCGTCCTCCTCCTCCGTCTTGTTCGCCACAAACACAGCAACATATAGCACCAGAGATACCACGTGGGCCGGCTCAACAAGGCAGAAACGTGCTAAGATCCTCGGCGACTGGAAGTCCAGAGAAGCCCACAAACGGCCCTCAGGACGACCCCCAGAGCCGTCAAACATTATGGGCTGGCAGCGTAAGCGAGGCCATTGAATGAGGCCGTCCAAGGGGCGATCACACGTCTACCAAAACAAAACAGAAAGAGCTGGTGGTAATCGCACAAACCGATAGAATGCGACGAGGTTGCAGAATGAGAGACGAGAAGCGATGAGAGGAAGTAGAAGAACCAGAAGAACGAATAGAAGGAGATGCACACAGCCATGAAGAATCAATGATGACCTAACATAATGATGCACAAACTGATGAAGTCAAGCATGTTCAATAAACTGACGAAGTACATCGTGCCAATCACAAGGCAAGCCCCCCCCCCCCAAAAAAAAAAAAAAAAAAAACTAACTAACAACAAAAAAAAAAACGAACAGCGGGTCGGACGCCCCCCCCACCCAAGCGCCTTCGGCCTCGCAGCGGCCTTGGCTGGGGCAGGCGGGGCGCGTTGCGCGCCAGGCGAACAGCGCGCGCGCGGCCAGGTTGGCCTGGGAACCCCAGTGTTCGTCATTATCCGCCCTCTTCCTCCTCCTCCTCCTCCTCCTCCTCGTCCTCCTCCTCCTTCCTTCGCCCGAAGCCGGTCGGAAGGGCGGGCGGGGCGTTTCGCCTGAGACTTCCGTGCCATTTATGATCCTCAACTGGCAACTGTTTAACAGAAGGGCGGGTCGCTTAGAAACCGGCAACTGTTTGACAGATGGAGGGCAAGTCGTTTCCAAAACGTGGCTCTCGCCTTCGCGCCGCGCACATTCGTTCGAAAATGTTGCAAGAGTTTCACAGATTGAAGGCGGGTAGTTTTCAAATTGTGGTTCTCGCCTTAGCGCCGCGCACATTCGTCTCCAAAGCTTGCAAGAGCTTCACTTGCAAGAGCTTCACATATTGAGGGTGGGTGGTTTTCAAAATGCGGCTCTCGCCGTTTAGCGCCGCGCACATTCGTGTTCAGAAGATTGTTTCTGAAAGAAGAAACAACAACAATAACAACAACATCAACAACATCAAGCCAAAAATAAATGAAATGAAAACAAAAAACTGATTGAAGGCGGGTGGTTTTGAAAGTGTGGCTCTCGAAGTAAAGCCACACACATCCATTTGAAAAACTTGCAACGAACTTCACGGACTGAGGGCGACCGGTTTTCAAGATGTGGCTTCTCGCAGCGCGCATCCGTGTGAAAAAATCCAGACGCTTCACGGATTGAGGGCGGTTCCTTTTCAAAGCGTGGCTCTGCACATTCGTTGCAAGATATGTCAAGCGTCTCAGGGATTTTCATGGTTAACGTCCCAAAAATTGTGTTTGGCACGGTTAAGGAATGGCGGGGCGCACCAGTTACGTTGATTCGTGTTGCTGAAATCCCACGAACGGCGTGCTGGCACGATTCAGGATCGTCAAGAAACAACAGTGGCCGTGATTCGCGGCGTTGGAATCCCAAGGATGGTGTTCTTGCACAGTTCAAGATTTCCGAACGGTCGCCCTTCCAATGGGGAAATTCTTTCCATGAAAATGAACCCTTGTAGGGGCCTATGGACTTGGACAGAGCGAAGGGGGGAGCTTGGACGGTGGATGTACACTGGTCCTCCTTTTCCTTTTTGTTCTCTGCCTCCTTCTCCTCCTCCTCCTCGTTTCATTCTTGTTCCTCATGAATAACTTCCCCCTGTCTCCCCCTAGGCCGGTCGAAAAGGCGGGCGGGGCGTTACGCCTGAGACTTCCGTGCCATTTATGATCCTCAACTGGCAACTGTTTAACAGAAGGGCGTGTCGCTACCAAAGTGTGGCTCTCGCCTTCGCGCCGCGCACATTTGTTTAAAAAAACTGCAGAAGTTTCACGGATTGAAGGCGGGTGGTTTTCAAAACCTGGGTGGTTCTCGCCTCAGCGCCGCGCACATCCGTGTGAAAAGTGTGCAAGATCTTCACGGATTGAAGGCGAGTGGCTTTCGAAATGTGACTGTCGCCTGAGCGCCGCGCACACTCCTCATTAAAATTGGAAAGAGCTTCACGGATTGAGGGCGGGTGGTTTTCAAAATGTAGCTCTCGCTTTAGCGCCGCTTACACTGGTCTTAAACATTTGCATTCGGGGTGGGTTGTTTTCAATATATGGTTCTCGCCTCAGCGCCTCGCACACCCGTGTGAAAAATGTGCAAGAGCTTCACGGATTGAGGGTGGCTCCTTTCCAAAATGTGGCTCTCGTCCTGGCGCAGCGCACATTAATTTTAAACGAATGCAAGTATTTCGCGGGCTCTCTTTGCTAACCGTCCAGAAAAAGTGTGAACGAATGGTTCAGGGTGGTCCGGGCGCAACAGCTACTTTGACTCGCGGTGTTGATGTTCCAGGAATAGCGTTCTGGCAAGATTCAGGACCATCAATACGCAGCAGTCCGGTCGTCTCGTACCATCAAAACCAACACAACCGTTACCAGCACCATCACCCTTACCATTATCATCATTATCATCATCACGACCACCACCACCACCAACGTCATCATCATCATCATCATCATCATCATCATCATCATCATCGTCATCATCATCATCATCATCAGCATCACCATCATCAGCATCAGCATCAGCATCAGCGTCAGCATCATCATCGTGATCATCATCATCATCGTCACCACCACCACCACCACAATCATGAACATCATCATCATCACCATCACCATCATCATCATCACCAACATCATCATTACTGTTATCAAAATCATTATCATCATCAACACCGCCACCACCACAAACATCACCACCATCACGATCACCATCGCTCACCATCATCGTCGTCGTCATCAGACTCGTCACCATGTAAGACGCCTAATCAGCACCACTACCGTCGTCATCACCGACATCAGCATCAGCAGTACGATTACCATCGTCATCGTCACCGCCATCTTGATCATCGTCATCATCATGATCCTCATCCTTATCCTCATCCTCATCATCACCATCATCATCAGAATCACCAACATCGACAGCATCATCGCCGTCATTAGCACAAACATCCTCACCATGATCACCTCAAACATCATCACGATCATCATCATCATCATCATCAGAATCATCATCAGCATGATCATCATCATAATCATCATTATCATCATCACAGTGATCATCGTGATCATCATGATCATCAGCATCACCATCACCACAACCTCCACCATGATCACCATCATCATCAGAATCACCAATCACGACATCATCATCGTCGTCGTCGTCCTCGTCATCTTCATCATCATCATTTCCACCATCATCATCATCATCAGCAGCAGCATCAGCATCATCATCAGCATCAGCGTCATCATCACCATCATAATCATCATGATCATCATCACCACTATCAAAAACATCATAATTACCAGCATCGGCATGATCACCATCATCATCGTCGGCGGCGTCATTGTCATCATCATCACCCTCATCCCGAAATCATCACCATCACCATCATCATAACCACCAACATCGACGTCATCGTCATCGTCATCATCTTAATATTCATCACCATAAACATCATCATCACCATCATCATCGCCAAAATCACCATCATCATCGCCAAAATCACCACTATTGACATCATCATTGCCGTCGTCATCGTCACCATCGTCATCATCATTAGCATCATCATCATAATCAAAAGCAGCATCATCATCATCATCATCATCATCGCCATATTCACCAACATCGACATAATCATCGTCGTCGTCGCCATCATCATCATCATCACCATCATCATCACCATCATCATCACAATCATGATCACCAACATAATCATACTCCCAATGATGGTAATCAGAATCACCAACATCGACATCACAATCGCCGTCATCGACATCATCATCATCATCATCATCATCATCATCATCACCACCGTAATCATCGTCATAATCACCAACATCGACATCAGCAGCATCGACGTCATCGTCATCATCATCATCAGCACCTCCATCATCGCCACATGATCAGAACCAAAACATCGACAGCAGCATGATCGTCGTCATCGACATCATCAGCATCACCATCAGCATCTTCATCATCCTCATCATCATCTCCAACGTCGACATCATCGTCGCCACCACCAGCATCAACACCAGAATCATCATGATCAACAACATCGAAAATATCGTCGTCGTCATCACGATCATCATCATCACCATCACCATCACCATCAACAGAACCGTCAGAATATCAAACATCGACATCATCATCATCATCGTCGTCGTCATCGTCATCATCACAATCAACATCATCAGCATCATCATAATCACCAACATCGACATCATCATCATCATCATCATCATCATCATCATCATCATCATCACCATCTTCACCATCATCTTCGTCGTCGTTGGCATCGTCATCATCATCCTTATCATTCTCGTCACTTTTACAATTAGAGTTACCAACATCGACGTCATCATCATCGTCGTCATCGTCATCACCATCACTCGCCATCATCAACAATATCGGCATCATCATTTTTTTTTGTTTTTGGAACGAGCTGACAAACCTGAACCAGTGCATACCACGGCCGTGTGCCCTGCTACACGCAAGCAGTGCTCGCGCACTCCAAAGACAAAATAAAGGGTGCAGGGGAAGGACGTACGGCCAAGGCCGTCCGAACATGCCATGCAAAATCACTAACCCTTGTCGCTCGTCACTGTAATCAGCGATGCATCTACCCCTTCACATTCATCCTGAACAGCAGGAGGCAACAGAAAGGACACGCGTGCGTGTCCTGCGCCCTGGCGTCTCCCGGGAGGCGGCTTTCTGCACTTGCCTCAGGCAATTGCTCTGCTGACGCGTGCAAAATACACGGGGATCATGGACAGCCTCCCGTCACCAACGCCATCATGGTGATCAACTATAAGCATCATTACCATTATCAATCCCGTCACAATCATCATCCTCATCATCATCACCATCACCATCCCCATAATCATCATAACCGTCGTCGTAGCCATCGTCGTCATCATCATCACCGTCATCACCACCAGCATCATCACCAGCATCGTCGACATCATCAGCATCACCCACATCAACATCATCATCGTCGTCATCGTCACCATTACCAGTACAATCGTCCTCAGCATCCCCATCCGAATCACCAACATCAAAATTATCATCGTCGTCATCATCACGATCATCTTCATCATCATCATCATCATCATCATCATCATCATCATCATCATCATCATCATCATTATCATCGGAATTACCAACATCGACATTATCCTCGTCGTCGCCATCGTCATCGCTGTTTCCAACGCCATAAGCATCATCATCATGATCCCCACCGTCATCCCCACCATCATCAGAATCACAAACATCGATCTCATCACCGTCATCGCACTCACCATCATCACCATAATCAGAATCAGCATCATCATCATCATCATCGACATCATCATCATCATCATCATCATCAGCATGACCATGCTCGCCAGCATAATCACAAGCATCGACATCATCATCGCCGTCATCGTCATCATCACAAACAACATCATCACCATCATCATCATCATCAAAACCACGAACCTCAACATCAGCATCGTCGTCGTCAGCGTCATCATCAGCATCATAACCAGAATCATCAACATTGTCATCGCTACAATCATCATCATCAGAATCACCAACGTCGACATCATCCTCGTCGTCGACATCGTCATCATCATCATCATCATCATCATCATCACCTCGATCACCAATCATCATAATCACAATTATCGACATCGTCGGCATCGTCATCAGCAGAATCACCGACATCAACGGCATCGTCGTCGTCACCATCACCACCATCACACTCATCATCATAGTCATCATCATCACCATCAGCGTCATCATCATGCTCATCATCATCAGAATGGTCAACATCGATACCACAATCATCGTCGACATCGTCATCAGCACCATCATCACCATAATCATCAGCATAATCATCATCAACAGCGCTACCATCATGCTCATCATCATCAGAATGACCAACACCGACACCATCATTGTCGTCGACATCGTAATCATCGCCATGATCAAAAGATCATCATCACACTCATGACCATAATCACCAACAGCGGCATCGTCGTCGTCGCCATCATCACCATCATCATCATCATCGCAATCGTCACCATAGTCATCATCATCGTCATCAGCGTCGTCAGCATCAGTCTCATCAAACTCATTACCATCAGCATTCCCAACATCGACAACTGTATCGTTGTCGTCATTGGCATGACCATCATCAGCATCATCACCACAATTACCATAATCATCATAACCACCTAGATCGACATCATCATCGTCGTCACCGTCACCATCATCATCCGCATCATCATCATCACCGTGATCATCACCACCATCATCATCATAGACACCAACATCGGCATCATCCTCGTCGACATCAGCATCGCCAGAATCGTCATCTCCATCATCACCAGAATCACCATAATCTACATCATCATCATCATCATCATCATCGTCGTCGATGCCATTGTCATCATCACTCTCAGCATCATCACCCTAATCATCACCAACCACACCAATATAATCATAACCACCATAATCGACATCATAATCGTCGTCGTCACCGTCATCCTCATCACCCTCATCACCATGATCATCACCATTGTAATCACCATAGACACCAGCACCGATATCAGCATCATCGTCGTTCTTGCCAACGCTACCATCATAGTAATCATCATCTATATCATCACCACCGTAGGCACCGACATCGACGTCATCATCACCACCATCAACAACATCATCGTCATCATCATCATCGCTGTCAAAATCATCATCATCACCAGCAACACCATCGTCAGGTTCGCCACCAGCATCATAAACATCCCCATCATCATCCACATCATCATCATGATTACCGACATCGACATCATCAGCATCGTCGGCATCATCGTCGACATCGACATCAGCATCATCACCACCACCATCATCATCGCCATGATCATCATCCTCATCATCACCACCATCATCACCCTACACATTATCACGAACATCGCCATCCTCATCGTCTCCAACATCGTCATCATTGTCACCATGCCCGTCACCGACATGCTCATCATCGGCAGCACCATCATCAACATAATCAGCACTATTATCAACATTATCATCATTTAAACCACCGGCATCGACCTCAGCATCGTCGTCGACATCGTCATCATTTCACCACCACCATGACTCATCATCATCATCATCATCAGCAGCATCATAACAGACGACATCATCACCACCAGCATCATCAGCACCGCTTTAATCATCAACATTGACATCATCATCGCCGTCGTCAACAACATCAGCATCATCACCACCACCATCACCATGATAATGATCACCAACATCAACATCCTAATCACCAACATCGACATCATCATGGTCGGTGTGATCGTGATGATCATCAGCATGATGATCCGTACCGTCATCACCGTCATCAGAATCACCAGTATCGACATCCTCACCACCATCATCAAACTAATCAACACCATCATCATCAGCAGCATCATCATTAGCAGCATCCTCATCATCATCGTCATCATCCTCATCATCATCGTCATCATCAGCAGCATCCTGATCACCACCAGCATCAGTATCACAAGTATCGACATCATCACCGTCGGCAGTGTCACCGTCATCAGCATCATCAGCGACCTCGACATCATCATCGTCGTCGACATAGCTATCATCATCAGCACCACCATAACCATCACCATCACCATCACCACCAACATCGGCATCATCATCACCGTCGTCAGCGTCGTCACCAGCATCCCCATCATCAACATTATCAGCGTCATCATCATCAGCAGCAGCAGCAGCCGCAGCATCAGCATCAGCATCAACATCGGCATCATCATCGTCATCCTCATCATCAGCATCATCTGTCACCAACATCGACGTCATTATCGTGGGCAGCGTAACCATCGTCAGCACCATCACAAAATATCGAGAGCGTCATCATCGTCGACATCGTCATCATCATCTTCATCAGCACCATCATCACCATGATCATCATCATCATCATCATCATCGTCACCACCACCAACCTCGACATTATCATAGTCGTCGTCATCGTCATCACCAGCATCACTATCTTCATCATGATCATCATCAGCAGCTGCATCGACATCATCATCATCATCAGCATCATCATAATCGTCATCATCATTATGGTCATCATCATCATCAGTGTCATCCACACGTCAGCATTATCATCAGCAGCAGCATCGACATCACCGTCACCATCATCATCATCGTCATCGCCGTCGTCACCGTCACCATCATCAACATCGACATCATCATCGACCTCGCCGTCATCGATACCATCATCACCGCATTCGCCTTCACCGCCAGCAACGCAGCCACCCGCCCCGCCCAGCCGCGCCTGCGCGGCACGCTCGCCGCGGCAGCAGACCCACTCGACGGCCTGCGGGGCGGGGGGGCGGCGCCGCCTTCGCCCCTGTTGCTGTTGCCCTTCCTCCTCCTCCTCCTCCTGCTCCTGCTCCTGCTCCTGCTCCTCCTCCTCCCTCCTCCTCCTCCTCCCTCCTCCGCCTCCTCCTCCCTCCTCCTCCTCCTCCTCCTCCCCCTCCTCCTCCTCGTCCTCCGCCTCCTCCTTCCTCCACACTTACTCAGTATGAATACTACTCTCCCTCTTCCCCTGATGGCGTGCTGGAGTAGCCGACCCCCCCCCCCCCCCCGCGTACTGTTTTTTACGCACAGGATCCCCGGGAGTTGGGTTTTCGCCTGCGTTTTTGTTTCAAAATGCTGCTCTCGCTGAGGCGCCAGCCTCATTTCTGCTCCCGAATCGTTCCGAATCGTGCTCCCGCTGCAGCGTGGGCCTCATTTTCGGATCGGTGTTTTGCCTCCGTCGTTCAGGATGGCGTTCTCGCCCCAGCGCGGGCCTCTTTCTCGCGCGCCCATCCGCCCGCCACCACCGCGCCGCACCACGCCCCGCCCCGCCGCACGCACACCCACCGCCACTTCCACCCACCAACGCACGCACGCACGCACGCGCACCACCACCGCGCACCGCCACCACCACCGCACTACCCCACCCACCACCACCACGCTACACCGCGTCACACCACATCACACGCGCACACACAGACACACACGCACGCACGCACGCACGCACGCACGCACGCACGCACGCACGCACGCACGCACGCACACGCACACACACACACACACACACACACACACACACACACACACACACACACACACACACACACACACACCACCACCGCCACCACCACCACCGCCATCACGCACGTACGCACCTGGCCCACCACCAAACCACCAAGACGCCACACCACGTCACACCACAGCACACGCGCACACACGCACACACACACACACACACACACACACACATACACACCACCACCACAACAACCACAACCACGCACACACGCACGCACGCACGCGCACCACCACCCACTACGCACACGCGCGCGGAGCCACAGGTCCGCTACGACACGCGTCCGCGGATAGAGAAAATCAGCGCCATGGTAAGGGATGGGAGGGAGGGGTAGGATGTCAGATGTTGACGCGAGCGCACCTAACTTGTCCTCCGCCCCCTCCCCCTCCTCCTCCTCCTCCTCCTCCTCCTCCTCCTCCTCCTCCTCCTCCTCCTCCTCCGTCAGTCCCCGTCTGGGTCCTGCCCTCTGCGTGAACGAGGCGGGCGAAAGCCTGCTCGCAACCTCTCACCTTCCACTTCAGAGCCTAGCGCGTCGGCCGTGCTCGGCGGCCAGCCGCGTCCCACGAGACACTGCGCTCACGGAGTCCTCGTGAGCGAGCACCACATCATCGAGAGCCACATCATCGCTGCGCTCACGGAGTCCTCGTGAGCGAGCACCACATCATCGAGAACCACATCATCGCTGCGCTCACGAAGTCCTCGTGAGCGAACTCCATATCGTCGAGAGACACATCATCGTGAGTGCTGACCGCCACAATGATATGTCATGTGTCCTGGTTGGTTCCCACATGTTTTCGTTTGAGCGCGTTCGTGCTATACTGTCACAGGTGGTCGGCAGGAAGCTGGTTACCTACGCCTCCCCCTCCGGCACGTCGCGATCAGCAGGCAGCGGCAGCTCTGGCTACACCTTCGTCTTCACACGTCTGCATCAAAGGGGGGTTACCTCCACTTGCGGTGTCGGATGGAGGAGTTCTTCTTTCCCCTTTGCCAATTAACCCTGCGTTGCGTCTGCCAACAGTTCCGACAGCGCGCGTTCCTTGTTCCAACTCGAGCAAGACGGCGTGGCCAGGCACCGCTCCCTCCGCCACCTGGACAGCTTGCAATCCAGTCTTCGCAACACCATTATCGTGGACATCCTGAGCCTGAACAGGTGATCCGTTGCGCGCGTACATCATAGCCTGCTTGTGGGCCTTGCACAAATACACAACCGTCGCCTGCCCCAGTGGGAGTACCTCAATCGCGCTTCAGGTCCGCTCAGCGTTCCTGAGGCGATTTGGCTAAGCTTTTCCGTAGAAATGCGCAGCGTGAGTGCCAGTTTCGCAAGGATGATGGGGACTCTTCGGTTCCATGCGCCCGCCGATTAGCCCTGGAAGGGACGAGGGCGATAGCTTTCTTCCGCACACTCGCGTAGAGGAAATACCCCAAATGGACCGGAAGGTAATCTCAACGCGTTTCGCCAAGCCCTCTTGTCTGGACAGTCTTTTGTTAGTGCGTACTCTCAGCGTCCTCCTGGTTGCGCTTCTTTAGTCATACACGTCAAAGGTCGGCGCAAGAAGGACAAGTCAGAACAGGTGGACTTATCATCTGTGGCACCGACGACCTGCAGCTCTTTCCCGAGGAACTGTTGGCCTGTCCTGAGAAGCAACAGCGGTCGTCACCATCGTTTGCAGTGCAAGCCTTCAGATTTGCAATGCGCTCTGTGTGACAAGCGCGCTCACGACGGCCTTTTTGGAGAAGTGCGACGTTATGCAAACTAGACACAGGGTTTCTATGTGAAGCACTGTGGGTATTCAACTCCGCGCCGGCAGAACAGGCTTCGTAAACCCAGTGGTTCGCCAAGCGTGCCATCGAGTTTCCGCATGTCTTCAACAATTCGTCTGGACAAGGATCAGCTGCCGCATCTTCCAGCTAGGCCCCCAAATTGCTTTCTTGGACGGGAGTCCCCCTTCGCACTCCACGAAAGCTCCTCTTGAACGTCAACACGTTGTCACTGCTTGGAACCGCCATGGGAAGCCGTACCTTTTTATACTGATTTCAGTTTAGAGGCCCAATCCTGCGCACCCAGTCAGGGGCAGCATGTCCGCGCTCGTCCCCGTAGGACGCCTCCTCGTCTCTGTGCTCTCAGGTGCTGTTTGTCTTGTTGTTCTCGAATGGCAACGGTGCACGCCTATTGCAGTTAGTACTGTTGCGATGCGTAACGTCACTTGTCCCCAGCTCGACCCTGGACAATGGGTGCCTATGGGAAGAGCACGGGTTGTGGAGATTATGTTTGGAGGAGGGTGGATGGGCGCTCTATGTCGCATTGGCTATTTTTTCTTCTGCACTGAGAACAGGTGGCATGCAGTTTTAGCCGTGCCAAGCGTTCATCGCATGTGATTTCTTCAATAACTCTTTCACATGGTTTGGCGGGTTGCTTTGTTCTGATCAGAGGCCCCCAGCATGGTATATGAGTTTGCCCTTGACGCATGTGCTATTTCCAGGTCAACAGATTTGACAGGAATTCCAGCCACTCTTCCTTTGACCTCTCTTTTCCGCCCCCTCCTCCTGCTGCGGATTCCAGAGCGCAGGCAGGCTTACGTTGGCAACTCGAATTTGGGGGTAGGTTGAGGTTCTTAGCATTATCAGCGTGGGGGAGGTACCTCCACATGCCATGCCCTCGTCGACGGCGGCGAGGAGCCTTCTGAGGGCCAAGGTTGTTACTCTCCAGCTCATGAGCCACCTTCGCGGCGACGTTCGACCGCGATGCCACCCAAGAGAAGGAGGGCGGCACCCAAGCTACGTTGGGTGAGGCCGCGGCCGCACGCCTCCAGCTGCCACGCCAGCCCGTCGCGTCAACTGACGCAGGCGGCTGACGCGCCAGGGCGCAGGGGGATTTTGGAGGAAAGATTAAAAATAATCAAGAAATGCCCCAAAATAGCCAAAAATAGTCAAAACATCGTCCGAAGACGATTTTCTCAACTATTTTTGAATACTCCTCCTGTAGAGGGACAGACCCGACGTAAGTGTAGCTCGTGGTCGTCGGCCCCAGGCCAGGGGACAGGAGGGGAAGGGCGAGGGAGGGGAGTCGGCGGCGAGCCAGGGGGGAAGCGGGAAGGCGAAGGCCTCCTCAGAAGGCGCGGAAGGCTCTCGGCCTTCTGAGAAGCTTCCCGGGGGCCTTCCCCGAAGACGAGGAGGAGGAGGAGGAGGAGGAGGAGGAGCCCGAGGGCCGGGCCTGCTCGGCGGCGCGCCCGGGGGGAAAGCGAGAAGGGGCGGGCCTTCTCAGAAGGCTCGGAAGTCCCCCGGCCGTCTGAGAAGTTTTCGAAGCCTTCCCCGAAGACAGAGAACACCTCTCGGAAGGCGCGAGGGCTTCTGAGAAGTCCCACCGCCTTCCGAGAGGGCCTTCTCCTTCTCATTTTCCCTCCGCGCTCGCCGCCAATTTTGCAGGCGAGATTCTCAACTCACCGCTAGGACGCCAGTGCTTTACCTCCTTCCTCTCTCACTTCGTGCCCTGCGAGAGCTCCTGGCAACCAGCCCCATTGCCCCGGCACGGGGCCGCTGAGGGGGAGGCCCCACGTCGGTGCCTTCTTTTCACAGGGCTCCGATGCGCGCGTGCCAAAACGGAATTGAAGCTGGAGTCTCTTGTTAGCCTCGAAAGCGCAGGCGAGGCGTGCCACCCTGATCACCGCAACTCGCGAGTTGTTGTTCCTTTTGTTTTTTCTATAGTGCTATGATGTTCCAACCTATTTTAGTTTTGCTTACCAGAAAATATTTCGAGCACCAGGAGAGTACCAGAATTTGAAGGTTTTCACGTGTCGGACCCTGGGAGGCGACACTCGTTCGACACTGTTTCGACATTTTTCTGGGTGCTCGAAATTATTTCTGGGATGTGGCCCTTAAGTACGATGGGAGCAGCATAATTCTAGTTGGGGTCCCCTGTAATCAAACCGCGCCCGGGGGCAGGCCTTCCCCCATGTGCTTCTTACAGGCGGCACCCTCCGCCAGTGAGCTGCGGGCAGACGGCGGCTGCATCCTCCGCTCGCGGACGAGACCCTCGTTCCAAAGGGGGTTTGGGGGGAGGGAGTTTTCCAGAGAGCCCCTCAAGGGCCTCGGAGCATCGTCAAAACAGGGTGTGCGAAGCCCCTGGGGGACCCCTCCTGGAAAACCCCCTCCCCAAAAACCCCCTTTGGAACCCTCCGGCACCACGGAGGGAGGGCCGAGGCGAGTGAGAGGACGAGACCGGCCTGCTGCCCCGCAAGACCCTTCTGTAAACACAGGGGCCCAGGGGCACACAAGCTTTTTCGTGAGCGGCGAGGCGGCGGGTCCGCACCAGCGCAACAGCTAGGTTTGCGGCACTAACCAGCGAACTGGCCGGCGTGCAAGGAGGGAGGGGGGGAGGCCGACGAGAGGAAGGAGGGACGCTCAGACGCCGAAAAATTCAACGAAGAGCAGCTGGCGGGCGGCAGCAGCCAGGCGCGGCGGGCCAGAGCGCGGTGGGCGGCCGTGGCGAACCATGGGGGCAAGGTGGCGTGGGCCCAGGGACACACAAGCAAATAGACACAAATACCAGAATCTCCAAGATGTCCTACATTTCCTGAGTTTTCGTCGTCCCCCACGCTGAACAGTGTCTATGTTTCCCATCCTGTGTGAAGGAGCGTCTGTGTCTGGGAGTCGACGACGACTTGTGTCTGTGTTTTTCCCCTCCTGTGTGAAGGCAGATCGGCTGTCCAGAGAACGGTCTCTTCGAGGGGAGCATCTTCGAGGAATCGAGAGAGAGAGAGAGAGAGAGCCAGCGAATTGCACGGACGTCAAGGTTCAGAGGTTTGCGCGGAGTTCTTGGGTCTCCCTAGCACGCTAGGGGCGGCGCCCGAGGCGCTGCCAAGGGCGTTCAGCGCCGACCAGAGAAGAGACCCGCGCGGGCCTCCGAAAAAAATCTCGCGTCGCTTCTCGAGATCTGCGTTCCGAAGAACGTTGGGCGTTGGCGCCCCCCCATCGGGAACGGCGACAGGGTGCGGCTCAAGAGGGGCGACTTCGACGGCTGCTGGGGCGCTTCAGGTCGAGCTGGGGAGCATCAGGTCGGGCGGGGGGGGCCTCAGGCCTAACGAACCGAACCTTACCCAACGAACCCTCCTGCAAGCCTCCGACCTCATCCGAGTGCGACCCGCAACCGCCGGCCCAACGCGGCGGCGGGGCCTTCAGGCGGGCGCGCCGCTGCCGGCAGCGCCCGGCGTCCGCGCGCCACTCCTCGCGCGCGGTTCGCCACTCCACGCACGCACGCTGCCTCCTCCTCCTCCTCCTCCTCCTCCTCCTCCTCCTCCTCCTCCTCCTCCTCCTCGTCTTCCTCCTCGTCCTCCTCCTCACCTGAGCGCCGCATCCGACCAACGTCAGGTGCGAGCGGCTGCTGGTCGGAGCGCTCAGCGCGGCACCAGGCAAGCGGCGGTTTGGCGAGGTCTAACTCAGCAGGCCCCAAGCGACGCAGGGAGGCGGATTGCGCCTGCGTCGTCGTGCGGGTGGCACGGATTAGACAACCCCACGTAGTGCCTCTGAACGGCCCTGGAAGGCATCTGAAAGCGGCTCCACACATGGACTCAGCATTTGGGGCCCTCGGAGACTCCCTGGCGGACCTGCCAAGCGGGGGAGGCCCCCAAGTGGAATTCCCTCTCTTGGGGCCCTCCTATTAGGCTTCCTTCTCGTGGAACCCTTCATGGGGAGGTCTTATCGGGCCCTCCTTCCCGTGAGGCCCCCGATTGGGATTCCCTCTCATGGAGCACCTCGAGATTGGGATTCCTTCCCGCGGGGCTCCTCAAATGGGGGGCCCGTGCCCCACCGCGAGGATTCCTGAGCATGGGGCCCCCAAGCGGGACTTCCCCTCGTGGGACGCAGCCGCGCCGTCTCCGCGCGAGCAGTGCCCCGCCGCGTAGCGAAGCCCCCCAGCCCAGACCGCGGAGCGAGCAGGCGCACCGATGCGACGCAGCTGCGGCACCCCCCCTGCCAGGCCCCCGCCGATGCGACGAGCACTACCCAGCGGACCCAGGTCAAGGCTGGCCCGAACTGGCCAGGGTCGGGTCGCGAACATCCGGGCCGGCCACGAAGCAGGTCTCAACTCCCAGGCCCAGGCCAACGGGAGAAGGAAGGAGGGGGTGACCCAGCATCGCCCCAAAACCCGGGTCGGTCAGAGGGCATCAGAAGAGATGGGCCTGACATCCCCCAGTATTGACCGTCACTTGCGCCCCGACGGAGCCCTCGACCAGTCCTGGGGACGGGCTCTCCGTCGAACGGCAGCATGATGGCGGCCCCCGCAAAGCCGAGACAGTGCCCCCTACACAGTGGAGCCGTGACGACTTTTCGTACCCAGGAGGGAGGAGTAGAGAGGGGGGAGAAGGGAGGAAGGGAGGGAGGGAGGAAGGAGAAAAAGGACAAGAAGAAGGAGAAGGAGAAGGAGAAGGAGAAGGAGAAGGAGAAGGAGAAGGAGAAGGAGAAGGAGAAGGAGAAGGAGAAGGAAAAGGAGAAGGAGAAGGAGAAGGAGGAGGCAGGAGGAGGCGGCGGGAAGAGCAGGGAGGAGGGAGGGAGGGAGGGAGGAAGGAGTGGGTGAGTGGATGAGTGAAGCAATGGCTAAGGGCTTCCCGCGTGCCACCTGGGATCCCCCGCAGCTTTCCGCATAACTTCTGGTGCCCAAGACGGCCCCAAGACGGGCCCAAAGGTCTCCAGGCCAAGACGGCCAAAGAGGGCCCCGAGACGCCGAAAGTTCGCCCCAAGACGCCCAAGATGGGCCCTAGATGGCTCAGGAGGCCTGCAAGACACCCCAAGAGGCATCCAAAGAGGCTTCCGAAAAGGGGCACAAGAGGCAACATTCATTCATGTCAGATGGTTTTTGAAGGATATTGGCATTCTCGCGCTTTTGGCTTCCCGACGCTCCAAGACAACCCAAGATGCCCCAAAGACCACGCAAAGACGGCCCAAGAGGCCTCCAAGAGGGCCCAAGACAGCCTAAGAGCGCCCCAAGATGGCCCAAGAGGATCCCAAGACGGCCCAAAAGGGCCCTAAGCCGGCCCCAAAAGAGGCCCTGGAGATGGAACACGAAGCGAAAATCCTAGTTTTCCGCCCCATGGGGCCCCAAGGACCCCAAGAGGCGCCCAAGAAGCCCCAAGAGGCTTCCAAGAGCCCCCCAAAGCCCGAAGAGGCCCCCAAGAGGCCCGAAGGAGGCCCAAGAGGCCCAAAAACGGCCACCAAGAGGCCTCAAAACTGCCTCCAAGAGGCCCCCGAAAGGCCCCCCACGAGATCCCAACGAACATCCGATAGGTTGCATACCCACAACCAGGCACGGTGGCGGGATGGGCCGAAACCCATCAGACAATACGTTGCGAATCAGCTCTCCCTCTTCAGGCTTTCTGGGCGTTACTCAACAATTTGGGCCACCATTGGGTGGCGAAAGAAGAGGAAGGAGGAGGGAAATGAACGAGGCACGAGGGGGGAGGAAGAGGAGGAGGAGGAGGAGAAGGAAAAGGAAAAAGGAGAAGGAACAGGAACGAGGGGGAGGAGAGGAGGAGGAGAAGGAGGAGGAGCAGGAAAGAAGATGATGATGATGAAGAAGAAGAAGAAGAAAACGGGGGTCGGATGGGGGGAAGGGAGGGAAGAGGAAGGAGGAGGGAAATGAACGAGGCACGAGGGGGGAGGAAGAGGAGGAAGAGAAGGAAAAGGAAAAAGGAGAAGGAACAGGAACGAGGGGGGAGGAGAGGAGGAGGAGAAGGAGGAGGAGGAGGAGGAGGAGGAAAGAAGATGATGAAGAAGAAGAAGAAGAAGAACAAGAAGAAGAAGAAGAAGAAGAAAACGGGGGTCGGATGGGGGAAGGGAGGGAGGAGGAAGGAGGAGGAGGACGACGAGGAGGAGAATCGAGGTTAGAGGACTGAGCACGACCGACTCGACTCGAGGGAGGATCGGATCAACTCGACTGGAGGGCACATCCAGAACCACGGCGCCGTCAAGGACGGAGGGGGCAGGACGAGGAGGAGGACCAGAAGAAGTCCAAGATGCATCAACGATGCGGCAGTACGCCCTCCCGTCCGAAAAGTCCCCTCCTCTCCTTGGTCCCTACAAGCATCCTGCGCTTCCGCGTGCGACCAGCGCCCCCTTGGGAGACGAGCGCCCCCCGTGTGCCCGAAATTCGGGCGGGAGCTCTGCTTCGAACATCATATCTACCCTCCAATCACTCGAGATGAAGGAGAAGTAGGAGGAGGAGGAGGAGGAGGAGGAGGAGGAGGAGGAGGAGGAGGAGGAGGAGGAGGAGAGGGAGGGAGGAGGGAGGAGGAGGAGGAGGAGCAGGAGGAGGGAGGAGGAGGAGGAGGAGGAGGAGGAGGATTTCGCTTGGATTTCGCTTGCCTGATCCTCTCAGCCGTGCGCACGACGGCACCAGACGACGAAAACGAGCCTGCCGCCTGCCCCCGAGGCCTGTCCTGGGCGACAGGGCGGCGATTCCTGAAGCGCACGCGGCCGAAACATCGACCACCGCCAGACTAAGGGCGGCGGCGCGCTCCGCGTGCCGCCGCAGGTCCCCCGGCCTCGCCCCGGCGTGGGGGTGAACCGCCGCGGGAGCTGTGAACCCCAGGGGGAGGAGAGGAGGAGGAGGAGGAGGAGGAGGTGGAGGAGGAGGACGACGACGACGACGACGACGACGAGGGGGAGTAGGAGGAAGAGGAGGAGGAGGAGGAGGAGGAGGAGGAGGAGAGAAACATTGTGACAACGCGAGGCCAGAAAGCTCAAGAGCGTGCCGAGCGACAGCCCCGTGCTGAAAAACGGAGCCACCTCCACCCGTGGGAACCTTGTGAGCAAGCAAGTGTTCACGTCTGGTCACACCCATCATGGGGTCTCAAGCGAGAGCACCATGTCGAGAAGGAACCACCCTCCGTCCGCGCAACTAGCTGCTGCACGAATGCTCGGGATGTCTCGCGAGGGTTCCGTACTGAAAAAAACAACCCTTCATCAATATAGCTGACGGAAACTTATCAAACGAGTGTGGGCGGCACCAAAGCGAGGGACGCATTTTCAAAACCATTTGCCCTCCACCCACGAGGTTGGTGGCACGTGGTTCAAAATAATGCGCGCAACGCCATGGCGAAAGACCCATTTCAAAAGCACTCGTGCTCCACCATGCGCGCAACTGCTAGGGATACCAATCTTCAAGACCGCCAACGGAAAGGATGTCTGAGGCGAAACCGCGGGCCCGCCCAAACGACACGTCTGGTGGCGCGACAGGGAGGAGTTATTTACTAGCAGGAGGGGTGAAGAGGCAGGGAGCCAAAAGCAGGGAGCAGGGAGGAGGGAGGAGGAGGAAGGAAGAAAGAGAAGCAGGGGAGGAGGAAGCAGGGATCGGACCGGATCGGCTGCCCACGGAAGCACGACCTTGACAGCCAGGGAGGTGCGGCGCCATGCTTGGCAACACAGCTCAAGGGGGCAGGGAGGAGGGAGGAGGGAAGACGGACAGGGCGGCGGAGGATGAGCATCGCTTATCCAACCCTCATCTCCATGGGCGTGGACTGGGCCCAACTGGCCGATTTGCCCCCCTGGATAGGGATAGAAGCAGCGTGCTTCGGGTTTCGAAGGGTACATCCCCAACTGGGGAGGTTGGATGGTGGGGGTCGGGATGGTTTCGGGGATGGGAGTGGGGATCGGTTAAACGATGCTGGAAGAAGCGGGGAGGAGGAGTACCGAGACCACGAGGGACCCGGTGGTGGTGGTAACTGCATTTGGTTTCCGAGGAGGAGGAGGACGACGACGACGAAGGGGGGAAGAGGAGGAGGAGTAGGAGGAGGAGGAGGAGGAGGAGGAGGAGGACGAGGAGGACAAGGATCCGAGGACCCGAGGACCCGAGGAGGGCCGGGCGTCCAGGAGCGCCACCAGCAGCAGCGCCCCTCGCCGCCGCGCCTCCGCGGCGCCGAGCAGCCGCTCGCCCAGGCGCTCGGCGGCCTGGGCTCCCCGCTCGCCCCGGCCCTCACGAGGAGCACCGGAGGAGGGCCGAGGAGGACCTCCTCCTCCTCCTCCTCATCCTCCTCCTTCTCCTTCATTATCCTCCTCCTCCTCCTGTTTTCCTTTTCTTACTATTATTATTATTCCCTTCTTCCTCTTCTTCTCTTATTCCCTCCTCCTCCTCCTCCTTCTCCTCCCCCTCCTCCTCCTCCTCCTCCTCCCTCCTCCTCCTCCCTCCTCCTCCTCCTCCTCCTCCTCCCCCCCTCCTTCTCTTCCTCCTCCTCCTCTCCTCCTCCTCCTCCTCCTCCTCCTCCTCCTCCTCCTCCTCCTCCTCCTCCTCTTCCTCCTCCTCCTCCTCCTCCTCCTCCTCCTCCTCCTCCTCCTCCTCCTCCTCGTCTTCCTCCTCGTCCTCCTCCTCCTCACCTGAGCGAACGCATCCGACCAACGTCAGGTGCAAGCGGATGCTGGTCGGAGCGCTCAGCGCGGCGCCAGGCAAGCGGCGGTTTGCCTCCTCCTCCCTCCTCCTCCCTCCTCCTCCTCCTCCTCCTCCTCCTCCTCCTCCTCCTCCTCCTCCTCCTCCTCCTCCTCCTCCTCCTCCTCCTCCTCCTTGGGGTTCGAGGAGAACGATCAAGAAGGGTGGTCAAGGAGGATCGGAGAGGGCCCAGGGGCACGCGTTGAGGCCCCAGGAGAAGCGAGGAGGGCCCAGGAGGAGGAGGAGGACCAAGGGCGGGGGCAGAGCAGGCTTGAGGAGGGTCGAGGAGGATCAGGAGGAGTATCGCGGAGGATCGAGGAGACGGATCGAGGAGGAGAATCGAGGAGGACGGGCGAGGAGGACCGAAGGAGAGGACGACCCGCCTCCGCTCCCGCCCCCACCCCAAAAGAGAGCAAGCCTACCGCCTCCCCTGGCCAACTCCTCTGCCAGCCGCCTCGTCTGAGCCCTCGAATTCGAGGCCTCCTGGATAGGGTCCGAGTAGATGGGGTCGGAGGATCGTGCCGCATCGCCTATGTATCGGCGATGCATCGGCGATGTATCGCCGACGTGGGTGACGTATCGGCGACGCCGGCGTGGAGAAAATCGGGCTCCGCATCGCGCCGCATCGCCGATGCATCGGCTAGGAGGCCTAGACGAATGCAGCCCGCGCCCTCCCCCGACCGCCAGCTCCCCCGCCGGCCTCCCCTCCCCCTGTGCGGCTCCTCGCCCGCCCGCCCGCCCGCCCGCGGCGCCTCCTTCTGGGCCCGCTCCCGTAGACTTGTCCCCTCCCGCCTTTCGTTCCGATCCCGTTGTAGAAACGCTGGGGAGAACTCTTGGAAGAGAGAGAGGAGGGGGAAGAGAGGGAGGCAGACTTTCGAGGAGGAGGAGGCCTCTTGGGAGCCTCCCCCCATCACCACCACCACCCGAGGTCCCCTCGCCAGACGAGGGCGGCGCCGACGAGGAGCACGAGGATGAGGACGAGAACGAGGACGAGGAGGAGGAGGAGGAGGAGAAGGAGGAGGAGGAAGGGGAGGAAGGGGAGGAAGTAACTACCACCAAGCATGCTCCACCCACCCACCCCTTCCCACCCTCATCCTCGCCCCCACCCCCCGCCGCACCCCAAAAAAAACAAACCAACAACGAGAAGGCGGAGGCGGCCTCCCGCGCCGAGCAGGCCGCGCGCAGCTGGCCTGGACCGAGGGGGGCGCTGCCCCCCTTTCCCCCCCCTCGCGCTCCTGCGCCTGATCCTGTCTCTGGTGCTCCTCGTTGCCCCCCGATCCTCCACCTCATCCTCATCATCATCCTCATCCGCATCCTCATCCTCATCCTCCTCCTCCTCCTCCTCCTCCTCCTCCTCCTCCTCCTCCTCATCATCATCATCATCATCATCATCATCATCATCATCATCATCATCATCATCATCATCATCATCATCATCATCATCATCATCATCATCATCATCATCATCATCATCATCATCATCATCATCATCATCATCATCATCATCATCATCATCATCATTATCATCATCATCATCATCAGCATCATCATCATCAGCATCATCATCATCGTCATCATCGTCATCATCATCCTCATCGTCATCATCGTCATCGTCATCATCGTCATCATCAATATCAGCAGCATACTCGTCATCATCATCATGATCATCATCATCAGCATCATCATAAGCAGCAGAATCATCATCATCATCATCATCATCAGCATCATCATCATCATCATCATCATCATCATCATCATCATCATCATCATCGTCATCGTCATCGTCATCATCATCATCACCATCACCATCACCATCACCATCACCATCAGCATCATCATCATCACCATCAGCATCTCATCATCAACAGCATCATTTGAATCATCATCATCAGCAACATCATCAGCATCATCATCAGCATCATCATCATCATCAGCATCATGATCAGTACCAGTAGCATTACCATCAGCATCATCATCATCAGCATCAGCATCATCAGCATCATCATTAGAATCGTCAGCATCAGCATCATCATAATCAACATCACCATCATCATCCGCAGCATCATCATCAGCACCGTCACCAGCATCAGCATCATCATCAACATCACCGTCATCATCATAATATGATTCATCATCATCATAATGACCAACATCATGATCGTCAGCAGCACCATCGTTATCACCGTCATCATCAACAACATTATCAGCAGCATCGTCGTCGTCGCCATCATCATCGTCAGCATGATCATCAGTATGATCAGCATCATCAGCAGCATCATTACCATCATCATCATCATCGTCATCATCATCAGCATCATCATCATAATCATCATCATCATCATGATCATCATCATCACCACCATCATCATAATCATGATCATCCTCATCCGCAGCATCACCTTGATCCCTAGCATCATCATCATAATCATCATCATCTGCATCATCGTCATCATCGTCATCATCAGCATCGTCAACCTGCTCACGCTCGTCATCATGACAGAGACACTAGCATCATCAACATCACAATCAGCACCTTACCAGCATCGGCATCATCGCCATCAACAGTATCAGCACCTTCGTCAGAATCCGCATCATCATCATCATCATCATCATCATCATCATCATAATTGTTGCCATCAACAGAAGCAGTAGCATGATTATCGTCGTCATAAACAAAAACATGGGTTCTCGCCACCAACAGACTCATCATCCTCATCATCATCATCATCATCATCATCATCATCATCATCATCATCATCGTCGTCATCATCATCACCGTCGCAATCATCAACGTAGTCGTCATCATGATCATCAGCATCATCATCTGCAGCAATACCATCGGAACCAACAACGTCATCGTCCCCATACTCATCATCAGCATCATCATGATCAGCATCATGATCATCAGCATCATCAGCAGCAGCAACAGCTGCACCGGCATCAGCATCAGCATCAGCATAATTCCCTCATCGCAGCCCTGTTGATCCAGCTACTCTGACAGCCCCTGAGCCCGAAGCGGGTTCCTAGAGGCCGAAGCCGGGTCCTGGAGGTCGACTTTCTTCGATCCTGCCTGCTACCCCCCCCCCGGTTGGGTCCAGCTGGAAGCAAATCTAAAACACAACATCGGCGCCGCGCACCCCTGTCAAAATGGCCCTCCTCATCTCCCTCCTCCTCCTCCTTCCTCCTCCTCCTCCACCTCCTCCTCCTCCTCCTCCTCCTCCTCCTCTCCTCTCCTCCTCCTCCTCCTCCTCCTCCTCCTCCTCCTCCTCCTCCTCCTCCTCCTCCTCCTCCTCCTCCTCCTCCTCCCCCTCCTACTCCTCCTCCTCCTCCTCCTCCTCCGCCTCCTAATTCTCCTCCACCCCATCCTGCCCGCACACATTGTAAAAAGTTGACCCTCTTCCTCGTCCTCCTCCTCCTCATCCTCCTCTCATTAATATGATTACTTGTATGATGATTGTTGTTTCTGTGCTTGTTGGTATTATTATTAGTGTTATCAGTGTTGCTATTTGCATTATCATATAAGTACTACTAGTATTACTCCCATGCTTCTTCTTACTATATGTATGCCTAGTATTAACCATATTAGTATTATCATTTGGACTTAATGTTATTATTATTGGTATTGCTTTTATTCCCCACATGTTTCGTGGGGTTCTGGTTTTCTTCTCTGCCGCGTCGCACCCGCGTCTCCTCACACACACCTCCCCTCCACACACACACACACACACACACACACACACACACACACACACATAGCACAGCACAGCACACCTCAGCACAGCTCAGCACAGCTCAGCTGAGCACAGCTCAGCACGGCACAGCACAGCTCACCGCATCACAGCACAGCACGGCACGGCGGAGCACAGCACAGCGGGGGCGCAGAGGGTGGTCCCTCAGCGCGGCCTCTATCCGTGACACGCTCGCAGATCGTGGCAGGAGTGGGACTTTCTCGACACCACAGGGGGTGCGCAGAGGGTGGTCCCCCAGCGCGGCCTCTATCCGTGACACGCTCGCAGATCGTGGCAGGAGTGGCACTTTCTCGACACCACAGGGGGTGCGCAGAGGGTGGTCCCCCAGCGCGGCCTCTATCCGTGACACGCTCGCAGATCGTGGCAGAAGTGGCACTTTCTCGACACCACAGGGGGTGCGCAGAGGGTGGTCCCTCAGCGCGGCCTCTAACCGTGACACGCTCGCAGATCGTGGCAGGAGTGGCACTTTCTCGACGCCACAGGGGGTGCGCAGAGGGTGGTCCCTCAGCGCGGCCTCTATCCGTGACACTCTCGCAGATCGTGGCAGGAGTGACACTTTCTCGACACCACAGGGGGTGCGCAGAGGGTGGTCCCTCAGCGCGGCCTCTATCCGTGACTCGCTCGCAGATCGTGGCAGGAGTGGCACTTTCTCGACACCACAGGGGGTGCGCAGAGGGTGGTCCCTCAGCGCGGCCTCTATCCGTGACACGCTCGCAAATCATGGCAGGAGTGGCACTTTCTCGACACCACAGGGGGTGCGCAGAGGGTGGTCCCCCAGCGCGGCCTCTATCCGTGACACGCTCGCAGATCGTGGCAGGAATGACACTTTCTCGACACAACAGGGGGTGCGCAGAGGGTGGTCCCTCAGCGCGGCCTCTATCCGTGACACGCTCGCAGATCGTGGCAGAAGTGGCACTTTCTCGACACCACAGGGGGTGCGCAGAGGGTGGTCCCCCAGCGCGGCCTCTATCCGTGACACGCTCGCAGATCGTGGCAGGAGTGGGACTTTCTCGACACCACAGGGGGTGCGCAGAGGGTGGTCCCACAGCGCGGCCTCTATCCGTGACACGCTCGCAGATCGTGGCAGGAGTGGGACTTTCTCGACACCACAGGGGGTGG